GGTGTGCAGGGCAGAAACTGAGACACAGATGTAGAGAACAAATGTATGGACACCAAGGGGGGAAAGCGGCAGGGGGGGGCAGGGGTGGTGGTGGTGTGATGAATTGGGAGATTGGGATTGACATGTATACACTGATGGGTATAAAATGGATGACTAATAAGAACCTGCTGCATAAAAAATTAAATTAAATTAAATTTTAAAAATTTTTTAAGAAAGACAGAATTGCCAGTGCACAGATGAAAACAGGAGGCAATGATTTGGACAAAGCCACCCATCATAGAGCAGCCTAAGGATACAGAAGACAGGGAATCACCTGCCTTGAGCGATAAGAGCCATCTGTGATCCCCTAGCACCTCAAACACACTTCTACTCTTATTCACCTTTGTGTGTTTTGCTTCCCAGAGCCGGAACTCCCCAAATAATGTGCCTTTAATGCAATACAGGTCAGCTGGAGATACTGGTCCCGTCAATACTGGACAGCTAGGCAGGGCTTAGGGTGGCCAGAGCCCACGGGCCAGTCATCTCAGGTTGCAAGCAGCTATGCCTATTTCACTATTACTATTTTCTCTGTATGCCATGGTGGGAAAAAGTTTAGGAAGTATTTCACTAGACTCTCAGTCCCTTTCCAGCCAGGACCATGCCTTATTCATGTTCCCAGCACCCAGCTCTATGACTGATCTGTAGCTATTGACTGATATGCTTGTTGCTGAACACGGTTCTACTGATGATGGCAAACGTCTGTGAGGTTGAGGAAGACAGTACTCTTTAGGTGATCTCCAATCCTTTTCCTGTATCTGACAAACTGGAGAAGTGGCTTCCATGTTCTCAGAGCCCTAGGGTTCCCTGGATGGGATTCAGAGCCTGCCTGGGGGAAAGGGAGAACTATATGAGAGGCTCTAATTATGTTCCGCCACTCTCCACCACTACCACAGCAACAGCACTGTTATGCATTTTATGTATCAGACTTCAAATAAGATTTTATATAAGGTAAAGTTCAATTGTTTTTTTTTTAAAAAGTGGAGGATAGGGGACAAAACCACTCCAATAGAGAGCAAATGTTCTTCTGCGTCCTAAATCATGTTGAAATTTAAACATCTATGCTTGACACTCTTGTGTTTAAGCTCATAAAGGACAGGCTATGGGAATTCCCTGGAGGTCCAGTGGTTGGGACTCCGCGCTTTCACTGCCGAGGGCCTGGGTTCAATCCCTGGTTGTCAGGGAACTAAGATCTGCTACACCCAGGCATTTCACCTTTCTTCAGGAATATGGTGCTAATGGTGGATCCCTGAAATCTTGAGCCATTTCCCTCCTGGTCCATATGGTGCAGCAGATACTTTGCAGAAGTCCATGACAAATCTCTAACACCTTCATAGACCCCCTACCTCAGTCAGTTCTTTCCTAGACTACAATACAAAGCCTTCAAACATTTGTAGAACTTTCTCCAAAGCCTCCCCATGTCCTTTCATTATCAAAAAGCTTTATTAGCATTCTACCTTTATTTGCAGTAGATGTTGGAAAAGGTACAGTACACAGAATTACAGATATCGCAACTCTGGATCTTAATACAGTACATTCTGAAACAAAGGCAGACATTTAAAGGAGATATGACTAAGTGAAAAGAATGGCCCAGGAAATGGAGGATGCTGAAATACTATCTGAAATCTAAAATAATGGGAGCCAGGAAACTAAATGCCCAACCTAGGACAATCAGGGTGCTCTTTTATGGAAGAGTCAACCATTACCTCAGAGTCACACTGAACACTATTTTTGAGCCCCCATATCCTCACCCTACATCCAAGTTGATAGTTCAGGGCCCCTGCCTTGCTCCAGCTTCACCTCCGACTCAGGCAACAGGAGCTGCCTCTGTGAGGCTGATGCTGAAAAAAAGATTTCACTGCTCGTAAGCCTACGACCAGCACAAAAAGTCACGGTAACAATCATCCCTCTACACAGGCGCTTCAGGCGGCAAGTTGTTCTTTTGTAAACCCCCTCTTTAAGGCAGCCCTGAGTGCTCATGTTATTATTTCTATGATGATGGTGATTATTAATAGCAGCTAACATTTACTTGAGGCTTACTATGTGTACTTTGTATAATACTAAGTGCTTTACATGTATTATCTCATTTAATTCTCATGCCAACACTATGAATAGGTACTATCATTATCATACTCTTTACAGATGAGGAAAATGAAGCTAAAAGAGGACAAATAATTTCACCAAAATCACACAACTAGTAATTAGCAGAGGCAGGATTTGAACTCAATTTTGTCTGATTCCAAGGTCCACACTCTTAATTACCATACCATTTTGCCTCTAAATTCACTTGCAACAAAAATGGTGAAGGGGGGCTTCCCTGGTGGTGCAGTGGTTGAGAGTCCGCCTGCCGATGCAGGGGACACGGGTTCGTGCCCCGGTCTGGGAAGATCCCACATGCCGCGGAGCGGCTGGGCCCGTGAGCCATGGCCGCTGAGCCTGCGCATCCGGAGCCTGTTCTCCGCAACGGGAGAGGCCACAACAGTGAGAGGCCCGCGTACCGCAAAAAAAAAAAAAAAAAAAAAAAATGGCAAAGGGAACTATGCGTACACCTGAAACTAAAACAATACTGTAAATCAACCATACCTCAATTAAAAAAAAAAATGGTGAGGAGAGCCAAATACAGTGACATTTTTTGAGTCTCAAGCCTCTTGACATCCACTTCTAAAGGTATTCCACAGAAAGCAGATTCCATCTGAAAGCAGATTCCACAATTTCCCTCAGTTATTGATTCAACTTTAACAAACCTGGTTTTAAAGAACTTCCTCCTTCTGACCAACAAATCCCACCCACTGTCCTCTGAGTCCATTTTCTCTATTATGACTCCAGTGGAAGAGACTAGCAGAGGTAAACATACTTTATCACCCTTTGTGCACTTAAGACGTCACTTCCACTCTTTCTAGCCTGCTGTCTGCTCTCCTTTACACTGCATTCAGTTTAATAATAGCAGCTACCGTTCACTGGCACCAATTCTATGCCAGGCACCACATACATACTCTGGCTCCCTTCTCCGTAATTACCAGGATCCCGATCTGCAGACAACACTCTGAAGGACTTAGGTCTAATGGAGAGACCCCTTTGCCCACAATGGGGAAGCAGGAGATCTGGGATTTCTGATAAATAATGACTCTGTGTTCTAATATTTTTCTTTTGGGGTCTTACTTTCATTATCCATGACTGTTTTTTGCCTCTTAGGAAGGTGGAGAGACCAAGACTTCTTAATTACAAAGGCTAAGGACCTTTACACTCTCACTCAGCTATCTTCAGTCACTCTCCTTGACAGCCAAGCCCTCTCCTCCTCTTTCCTTAAACTGTGGTCAGAAAACCTGAGTTCTGTTCATTCACATCCTGTATTCATCATGAGTGCCTACTGTGTGCACAGATAGTGTGGGAGATACAAGATGAGATCCAATTCCTGAACTCAAAAAGCTTCTTCTCTTTGGAAAAGCAAGACATACACATAAAGATTTTGACTACGCAAGGTAATAACTATGCTGGGAGGCAGGAGGCATGTGTATATGGGATACAGGAGGACCCTTCCCAGCTGAATTCCACGGTCAATGATCCATTCTGTGAAAAGGTGGATCAGCTTCTTTCTTAGAATGAGCTTTTCTAGACGTGTTATTCAAACTCGGGTCTAAGGTACAGTGACCAATTCACTGACCCATTCCAGTCACAGCAAGTGGAGACCCCCCCCAACAACACCCAAGACAAAATGGCAGCAAAGACTGTCAACACCTGATTAGGGACACGGAAGGAAGTATGCAGAGACTAGATTCTGCCCTGTTGCACTGACCCAAGCAATCAGACTCCTGCAGCAGATCTCCTACCAAATAAAACTTTCATGCCATAGACCAGGGGTGACCCAATCCAACCGCGGCAGAGACAGGTTTTAAGTTACATTTCTCCCTCACCCGATGACCTCACTATTTCTTCTCACTCCTGACCACATACCACACTCCTCCTGGCCTGGCCAGAGAGAGACCAGCAGTAATACAACCCAGAAAGAAGGCAACTCCCCCAAAAGAGGAGCTACCACTTTGCTAATCAAGTGGCCCGTTTTCAACAGGGAATTCCACACACCCCCGCCCCCTTCCCGCAGACATTGGTATAAGCAATGGCTCCATTTTCTGTTCCGGGAATCCTGGTACTTCCTAAAGAAAGAAAGCGGATTGGAAGACAGAAACTCTGAGCCAGTGACAAGATGCTCCCTCCTCCCGTGAGACCGCCCCCGCTTCGCCTGGGGGAGGAAGGCACCACCTCTCTTCTCCAAGCAAGATCAGGTCCCCTCCCCCTCCTCCGGCCTCCTCTCCTCTTGCTCCCCACCTGCTGCCCTCTTCCCGACGTGCGGTCCCCAAGACCCGAAAGCTCAGCCTCCACCAGAATAGTGCCCCTGGAGTGCCCCACTAGCCTGTGTTCCCGGTTAATCCCTAAACCCCCTAAACACCCCTGCGCCACGATGTGGGGAGGGGGTGTCACCATAGCAAGGCTTCTCTCTGGTCTATTACTAAGGTGGAGGGGGAGAAGGGGTAGGAAAAAGCGACACTCCCTAGCCCTTTAATAGGAAAAAGATACAAAACAGCCATCACCGCCCCCGCGTCACCTCACCTTGGACTGCTTTCCTCCCCCTCAACCCCAACCCTTCAAAAGCCCACCTCCTGCAGGCGAGGGGAACCTAACTGCAGCCCAGGTCGCCCCCTTGTGCGAGGCGGAGGACAAATCAATGTGCGCCCTCCACCCCCTCCCCAGCTCCGAGTCCTTCAAATGCGGGGGCAGGCGTGTGGCTGGCCCGGCGCCCCCTCTCCAAGCTCTCTGGTGGGAAGGACCACACCGGCCCATGCCAAGCAGTGCCGGGCGGGCGAACGAGCGAGCGGGGGTGGGGGTGGGGGTGGGGGTCTATCTTCTCAGCTCCCACCGCGAGTCTCTCCTCTACCGGGACCCGCCTTCCCTCCTCCCCAGCCCCTCACCTGTTCCTGCTCCCAGCTCCGCCGCTGCGGCCGCCGCCTCCGCCCCCGCAGGTTCCGCTCGGCTCTCGCTCCACTCTCTCCGGGTCCCTCCGCCGATTTCAGCGCGGCTGCTCCCCTGGCCCCGCTCCCAGCTCCCTCCTTCCTTCCCTCCACCTAGCACCGGAAACCGCGAAGGCTACAGGAGCTGTACGGCGCACCCTCACCCCCAGACCAGGATACTTCCCACCTCCCCGATCGCGCGAGAACTGC